TTTCCGTATCGTAGGATTGTTACCTAGAACCGAACCTTTCGAAAGTCCTGTCCCATCCTACGGCGTTTCAGCCCAGAATCGATCCGAACCCACCTCGTTGAAACACGCCACGCCTCGCTACACCTCGCCACAGTTTAACCCTCACCCGACTCCCCATCTCGATACCACCCGTCGAAGCGCATCAATTAACTCTAATTGCCGCTTAGCCGTAATCTCGATATCGCTGTGTGTGTTTCCTTCGAGATATCGTTTTGCGTTCAAGTGCAGATCGAACGGAGACGTATATTATTTCCTGAATATCGCTTTATGCTCGAGATAAGTTACGTATTCGAATAAAAAGAGTTTCGTTTGGAAAACATTGCTGCGTTTGCGGTTTCTTCCGGTCCGGTCCGTTTGGCTCGGCTCACGACGACATGCCGATCACGTTGGTACGCTCGAGGAGTCGCGCGACCGTCGATACCAGTTTAAACGAGATCCGTTGTATCGAGAGCCGGGTCTTGATGCCGGCAGTGTTGATCGCCAGCTGATACAGGTCGGCGTACAACTGTAAGTATACGAACACGGGGCTGAAGCTGGACAACGGGCACCACGAGTAATCGTTCGATACCTTGGCGTCCTCCTCCTCGTTCAATGGTAAATCTGTGAACTCGGGGCTGACCTCGGTGCATCGCACGCGCATCGTTCGCCAAGGTGTTACGAGTACCGTCAGATTCGTCCGCTGGAGCAAAGTAAAGGTTTCACCGTTGGCAAACGGACCAGTCGAGTCGCGTCGCGCCTCTCTAGCGTTACCTCTTTGGCCACGCAGCCGTGCAGTTCTTTGAATTGTAGCACGATCTCCCAAAAGGTCCGAGTCGCGTTCCATCGAGACCAGGAGAACGCGTAGCTGCTGGACAAGAGAGCCATGCATCGCCGTAAATGATTCTCCGCGACCGGGTGCTTGATCGGCGATCCCTTGAGGTAACTGGCGGCGTCCCGTTCCGGAAACAGGTCGCACCCGATTCGTTGCATTCGCTGCGGGCAGAGAACAACCTATCGATACTTCCGAACGATGGTAGGATAATGCCGACGCGACGCGTTACCTCGATCAGAGTCTCCAATTCGACGTACTCGCCGAGTATCCGTTTCAGCGGCGTCGACGAGCCGCCGATCAACGAATTCAGACACACTCGATCCTCCTGCAATCGACGCGAAACGGTATGGGAACGGTATGGGAGTCGACTCGATCGTCACGGCGAACAGCAGAAAGAACCTCACTCTGACTATAAATTCGGCTTGAACGGTGGCTGCGGTCACGTTCAGAACGACACCAGCGTAATCCCGTCCGTTCCTTGCCGGTTCCGGCCTCAATTCCCAACTCTGAAACGGCAGGTTGGCGAACTTGTTAGCGACGAGCCCGTGAACGCCCAATTTGCCGCTTCTGAACGCGATCGTTTGCTTCTCCTCGTTATATTTTATGTCGTGAACGTCCTTGGTCGACCAAACGTTTCTCTCCGGTATCCAATGAGCGACCAACGGCGGTTCGAACCAGAACACGGAGTCGGGTAACCTGTCGGCGACGAGAACGAAAGTGAACGTATCTTTGGAAGGTTTTGATAGTCTAGGCGGTGGACGACACGCACTGCAGGCTAATCAGTAACAGCGACTCCATCGCGACTTCCAAAGCTTTCATCTCAGCCTCGATCACTTCCGGCGTCCTCTCGGAATCCGGCGGTGGCTGCGGTGGTTCGTACGATCTGCAGAATCGCGCGAACCGCGGTTCCTTCGGCAATTCGACTGAAACGCGTGTAGCGAAACGAACGTTCTATGCCGTTCCGTGCGATTCGCGTTCCACGTATACTACCGGTGTACTCACGAGTGGTCGAGCTGCCGTCTTTCCCGAGATCTTTCGGCTGCGGAGGTTGCTGAATCAGATCCAGCCGAAACACGCCCCCGAGGATCGTGTACTTTCGCAAATTGACTTCGGTTTTCTCGCATCGCGTCGACAAGATCCTGCGAACCTCTTTCCTGGCTTCCTCTGAAACGAAAAGCGACATCGGGGCAGACCAGGAGCCGTTGCCGAGATCCGAGGAATCGGGGCGATTACCTTCTCTTTGCCGAACGATCTCGTTCGGTGTCGGCAGGTAAGGTAGAAGCTCCCCATCGCCAGGCAAGAAGGTAGCCAAGCTCTGTTCGAACTCGGACAAATTTGCTTTCGCGGATCGCGGCCTCTTTGACTTTTTACCGCGTTTCCCTCTCTTCCGAGCGTCCGGGAAAACCGGAGGATTCTCCATCTTCCTTAATATACCTTTCTTCTCCTCCAACCGCAACCGACGTTCCTCCGTTTGTTCCTCCCAGATTCGAAGCTTCTCGCGATACTCCGTTCTCGCGAACTCGAGAAGATCTGAAGCTCGATCGACTCGAATAGTTTAGTTTAGTTTTAGCTCGAGTAAGGAATTTGGTGCAACCTACCGGCCGGTTTCACCCATGGATCCCAGAATTCCTTCGGGAGGCTCGGAATCCGCCGGGAATTCGTTTCGACCGAGTAGTGGTCGTAAGCCAGCCAGAGCCCTCGAACCGCCATGCGATGGCAATCGACGTCGCCGGGAAATTGAATGGTCAACTTGATCTCCTCGAACGCCACTTCGGTCGGCTTCCTGCGCGTCGAGTGTTCGACGAAGGGACGAGTAAGTAGGTATGTGTACGCCCACTCGGATCAAACGCGGCGCGGCCTCTGACCTTTCCTTCTCCGCGAGCCGCTTGGTTCCGACCGGCAACGCTATCGGTGCCCAGACGCAGCACACCATTCGGTTCGACTCGCGAACGTATCGGCTCGTCTTCGTGTCCTCCCTGTTCATGTTCGCTTCGATGTCGCGCAGCAATCGATAGCACGCAAGATCGATCCACCACTGGAGTTTTCCGCGAAGTTCCCCCGCGATCTGCGAAATCATGCGAACGATCGAAATCGGCCGAGCTACGAAATCAGCTGGATCCGTGAAAGGTCCGCTCACCGATTCGTACTCGCGCACGTACTCCTTCCAAGCTTCGTCGATCGAACGGACAATCCTCTCTACCTTGGATATCAACTGAAACAAACCGTCGACGGGTTCGGTTTTCCTCGACTTTCTCGTCGATCTCTGCGAGTTTCGTCATCATCGTAATCATGCAACGTACGTTGGTAATTACTTGGCACTTTTCCACTATCGCGTCCAGGCTCGCGTTCTCGTTTTCTTCCGTCGCAACGTGCAGAAACGTGTTCAGGTCGGATAACGAGCCAGGATCTGGAAGACCGTCGCAGGTCATGTATCTGGTCCACTGGAACTCGTTCGAAATTCAGCTGGAACATCGACATTTCGAAAGGCAGACGGAGAGAGAGAGAGAGAGAGAATGAAAAACCAACGTTTTCCTGCAGCTGTAGGATGCGCGCGTTCTCGGCGTAAGAGGACCAATGACGAGCAAGAATCGCCTGTGTCTCCTCCAATTGTGCCTCGCGCATCTCCAATTGCCGCGCCTCCAGTTGCATCTTCTGCATCTGATTGAACTGTTCCAAGCGAATCTCTTCTTGCATGTCCTTGATCATTTTATCCCTGTACGTGAAATCGACAGTTCCGAGGATTGAAATCGCTACGATCGGTAGATAGATAGAGAGAGAGAGAGAGAGAGAGAGAGAGAGAGTGGATCCATGTATCGAGTACGCGAGTACCTGATGTTCTCGATTTGGTCGTTGTCGTTTTTCCCAGCAACGCCGACGGCAGTGTCCTCTCCGGCAGCGTTACCGTCACCGTCGACGCCAACCTCGATAACCTCCCTCGGTAATCGCCCTCTCGGCGAACCCTGACCTCCTTTCCGTTCCATGAGTTTGCTTTTGGTCGCCGTCGACGACGCCGCTGTTTTTCCCGTCGCTCTCTACGGCCATGAAAAATCGAGGAGGATAGATTACCGTTTTACGCGTTCGCGTAGTCCGTAAACAGGAAGGAAAGCGGAAAGGAGTCAAATGAACCTGGAGTTCTCGCCATTTTTCCAGCTGGAACATGCAAGTTTTGCTGGAAATTGAACGACGGATCGAAACGCGATCGCGACGCGACCGCAGAGGTTACGTTCGATGCGAATATACGAACGCGTTTGCCGTTCTACCAAGGATAACACGCGGCGGGGTTTTTTCGTCGATTCGGGAAATCTTGTTCGTATCGAGACTTTCCTCTCTCGTTCGTTCTTCGGCCCCTGTCCGTTGTCCACTAGCCCGTTGTATCGGTGGCCGTATCCACCACCGGTGTCTTCTTCATCGGCCTCTTCCGCATTTCCGACGTAACGGGATTTCCGCGTTGAACGTGTTTTCGTCGATCGTTGATCGGTCGACTTTCCGAAAGACGCGTTCCCGTCGTTTCCCATCGAACTCGATCGCGGAGAAGAGGACACGTTCATCCCCGGGCCTCGGTTTTTGTCGCGCAATTAGCTCCGTTGGAAATTGAAACAAACGAAGCGAGCTCTACACTTGTACTTTATCGCTTACCGTGGATGGAAATGTTGATTTTTATCGTTACGCGCAGCAGCGTGCCGCCTCGAAGAAACAAACAATGGCCGGATGCGGAGGCCCCGACCCTTGAACCGACCGGCTGAAATAGTATTCATGACTTGGCGAAACGCCTCGTCATTTCCGAGGGATTCGTTCGGCTATCGTCACGACAGGGAAACGGAAGACGAGAATTCGATTCCGAGACGGACGACTCGATACCGAGCACGAAGAAACGTTTACACGGCGAACGAGAAATATCTGAACCAACAACAGACGCGAACGTATCGTAGTCGTAGTCGCGGAGTCTCATCGCGTGCAACACACTATGTCCGTAAGTGTTTATTTGCATCGAAACCGCGCAACGTCGCGCAACTGCAAGCGGTCGGGTCGTTTTTAGGTTTATTCTACTACGCGAACTCGCGATTACCAAACGAAAACTAAATCGAACGTTCATCCTATTTCGTATAGACGTACAACGACAAGGAGAACCGCTCGAGAGCAGAATCCTCGATAGCGGCATTTTACGCTGGGAGAAGCGTGTTCGTTACCGGTGGTACCGGTTTCTTGGGAAAAGTGTTGGTCGAGAAATTGTTGAGGTCCTGTCCCGATGTTTCCGAGATATTCTTGTTGATGCGGCCAAAGAACGGTTTGTCCGTCGACGAGAGGTTGAAGGAAACGATTTCGTTACCGGTAAATTGGAGTCGGCCAGTTCGGTTTCGTCGATAAGTCGCGTCGGTGCCGAGTCGGTCGATATTCGATTCGCTCTCCTGTTCGCAGCTGTTCGACAAATTGAGGGAAGAGAGACCATCCTGCTTCGAGAAACTGATTCCGGTATGCGGTGACGCGAGCGTCGAAGGGTTGGGCTTGACCACCGCGGACAGACAAATGATCGCCGATCGCGTCTCTGTCATCTTCCACGTGGCCGCCAACGTTCGATTCGGTAAAAATATGAAGAAGGACATAGTCTCGAACACCTGCTCGACCCGGGAAGTTTGCATCTTGGCGGGAGATACCAAGAATTTGGTGGCAAGTAGCCTTTTCTTTTTACCCTTTCTTTTTAGCGTTTCCTTTTGGTTGGTAAAGATAAGAAGATTCGAAGAACCCAAGGGATTTCGAGCAAAGTCATTCATCTTTCTGGGCTTTTCCAAAGGCTTTGCTGCACGTTAGTTCCGCTTTCGCGCAATCCGACAAGCCCGAGGTGGACGAGATCGTGTATCCGCCGATAACCGATTGGAAGAGCACCGTGCGTATGGTCGAAAACCTGGACGAGCAGACTCTACGAGCATTCACAGCCAAGTGAGTCGACGCGACTCCCGATTTATTTTCGAACTTGCCGATTTCGTACGAACGATGCGAGTTTGATTTTCACCCGCAGATACTTGGGCCCCATGCCGAACACGTACACGTTCAGCAAACGGCTCGCGGAACAGGTAATAGACGACTACTCGAAGGACCTACCGTGCGTCATTTTTCGACCGTCGATAGGTAAAGTAACCACGACTCTCTCTCTCTCTCTCTCTCTCTCTCTCTCTATCCTCTATCCATACGTTCAGTTTGTTGCGTTGTTCAGTGATATCGACGGTCGAGGATCCGGTGCGTGGCTGGTTGGATAACTTCAATGGACCGGTAGGAATGATGATAGGCGGCGGCAAAGGAATTTTGCGCGTAGTCCGTTTGGATCCAAAGGTTAACGGTGATTTCCTGCCCGTCGATGTAGCTATTAAAGCTATGTTGACAGCAGCGTGGAAAAGAGGATTAGTAACGTACGAACTAGAGTTAACCTAACTGCTTTACTCTACTCTACTCTACTCTACTCGATTCGATTCGATTCGATTCGATTCGATTCCGACAAATACACGCTCCTTTCGGATTGTTTGTTTTAAGGCTAAGGGAGGATCCCGAGATTCACGTGTACAACTGTACGTCCTATAAAATTGTTCATCTTATTAATCGAGAGTTGGTTGCGATGGGTTTGAGAGCCAACGAAAAGATGCCCCTCGACGGTATCATCTGGTATCCCCGAACGTTTCTGACCCCCAATCGATTTCTCCATTACGTATTGACGTTGTTGGTTCATCTGTTGCCCGCGCTGCTGATAGACGGGATTCTAAAATTGACTGGCGGTCGACCAATGTAAGTTCCAACTACGTCCGTCCTGTGTTCGGACGGCGAGCGTTCGCTTTTCTCGAATAAATTCTATCGATCCGCAGGCTCGTCAAGATTCAAAGGAGGATCTATTCGAGCGTCCAACAACTCAGTCATTTCCTCCACAACGAATGGATTTTTCGTAATTCGAAGATGATGGACATTTTGACGAAGGCAGTCCCGCCGGCGGAACAAGAGATCTTCGGTTTCGACTATCGCGATTTCAATGTCGAGACATACTTCGAGTGAGTGAAGCCAATTCTTTTTCAATCGAAAATCTCAACTACTGGTTATTCTCATACCTCGATTTTCTCCGTTACGCAGCGGTTGTTTGCTCGGTGCGAAACGTTATCTTCTGCACGAAGATCTCTCCCGAAGCGAAGCGATAAAGCGTCATTACGAAAGGTAAAGTAGTCTCCTCGATGGAAGGATGTGATCCGTTGCCACTGTTACCGGTCCCTCCTACCTTCTCGGAGCATTCGGCGGTCCGTTTGATCGATCGCAGGACTCCGTAGGCTCCTTCTCCCACCACTCTCTTCTATCCAACGTTCCTGCCGTTCTAGCCACGCTCGCTATGTTTCTCGCGAAATATAGCTTTTCTTTCTATAGGTTTTTAGATAGAATAGAAATAAACGATGCTAGGTAGGATCAATAACGCTCGATCGAGGTTGAAATGTTGCAGGATGCGATGGGTCGACAGAATATTCAACGTCTGCATGGTCAGCCTACTGGCGTGGATACTCTGGAAGACGGGAACCGTTTCGCGGCTTTTCGGATCGTTTTGGCCATTCGCGGACGAAGCCCTTCTCGGCAATTGACTAGCGAGCTGGACCGATATCGATGCAAGATCCGCGAGGATAACGGGGATCGTTGATCAAAATAAATTGAAGCATCGTTAGAAATTTATTGGCGGACATTTATTTCCTCTCTGCGTTCGATCGGTTCGTCGAACGATTCGTCGATTCCATGGTCGAAAGTCGGCGAAAGGGCAGACGCTCGCATCGTCCATGGCGGATCGCGCAACCGAACCCGACATACAGATTATGCGACGTATACGACTCGTCGAACCCCGGTAAACCCCCGGAATACTGAACAGTTTCCCAGGGGAAATTAGCTTGAGAGATGTTGCTTGAAAAGAAAGGTGCGTTGCTCGGAATTGTTAAAAGGCGAATGGAACCCTATACTTTCTATTCCATATTTTTCAAGCGAACGCGTTCAGGCGTTTCGAGTGGAATTTCCTTTATCTTAGATTTAGTTTACATCGGATGTCTCGAACGTTGCTCGTATCCGACTTTGTCGTATTCCGTTCGAGGCGAATCAGCCAATAAGAAAAACGGCCGACTGTCCTCCCCTTGCCGCACTTGCTCGTGTTTAGTTCGCGAGACAAGTTGGCGAGCGTAGCTGCGTATGCAAATGCCCGACAGACGTCACTCGATACGGCGCATGCGCGGCTGCTATCGCGAGCCAACCAAGTTTTATCCGCGTCGCGACACGCGAGTCGAGAGTGTCCAGATTTCCTCCAGAATCGAGGCATTGCTCCGTTTCGAGAAAAATAAATCGACAATCCGGAAGGTCGAGAGAGAAAAGACCGATCGTAGGATCCCGCACGGATCAAAGAAGATCGCATGTTCGCGGACAGGTAGGTGCACACGATACGCGTTCTTCTTTCTATTTCGATGAATCTTTCGGTGCGCAGTCGGTGAAGTGAGTCGGTGAAGCGAGTCGGCGCTGCGACACGCGACACGCGGCACGCGGCACGCGGCACGCGATACGCGATACGGAGAAACGAGGTTTCCTTGGCTCGTGACCAGCCAGCGGTTACCGGTTCCTCGATGCGATCGCACAATTTCGGCAACGATACAACGGCTGGTATCGATCGGCTGGCACGCGATTTACGGCCAGCAGGAGCGAGCGAGAGCAGTCGATGCGTACCAATTGCATCGATTGCACCGATTTCGTGGCAACATTTTAGTCAATGTTATTCTCCTTTCGTTTCGGCCTTGACGGCCGAACCATTATGCGCGTAACGTTGTGTAGGTATGCGTAGGATTTACCGGTATCGAGCGCGCGCGTGCACGAAGCTTCTCGATTCTATACTTGGCGCCGCGTAGTCTCTCCTTTCTCTTTGATCCGATAGGCCGCGAATATCGATGTATCTCAACTTTTCCGAGGAAAGTTTCACCTCGAACCTGCTCGATTCGAAATGGCGCGTTGCTCGACAGCGGCGGCGTGTGCCGCATTCTCCGAGGGGTTGCACGATAACGAGCAGCTTATTTTTCAGATCACTGGCCAATTACGAGCGAACGGAAAGATACGTCGGAAATGGCGAACGCGCACGCGATCGCGCTTCTGCGCTTGCCGACCGATTTCGAAGATACGATCGAACGAATGAAAAATCTCCGACTCGAACGTAGTCGTCGAACCGATCAGAGCCTCGACTCTATGGATTCGAGAGCAGCCCGTTTCGTCGGTCGCGAAGGAGCAACAACCGATCATCGGACAAAGTTAAAGGAACTCGACAGTCCGAACAACAGGCAGGAGAAGACTCGTATCGACGATGCCAACAGCGATGCCAACGACGATGCCGACAACGACGGCAACGGCGATGCTAACGACGCGAACAGCGAGACCGAAAGCGATCGACACTCTACCGATCGCTTGATCGAACGTGGACCGATGAAATCGCAGTTTCGCCCACGCGAGCTTCGCGGTCAGCCTTACTGCACGATCGACAGACGATTGATCGAATCGTCGGAGCAATTTCTCGAGACGAACGAAAGGTTTCCGTTCGGTTATCAGAGAGCCGCGGAGATCGGCAAAGAAAGCATAGACGTGAGTATACCGAGACCTGGATTAACACCGGCTGTGCGTTACATTCTAAAGGATTTCTGGTTAAATTGAAAAATAAGCTTTCGATTGAAAGGCAAAAGAACATCCGAACGTTCAATCTGCTTACCACGTTTCAGTTTGGCTTCAGTTTGCCGAGTACCGACATCGTAGCGAACAATATTACCGAGGACGCGGTGTTGGAGTTTATTTCGCAAGGCATGTTGCAACCGGCCCAATACCTCCCCGACAGCAGCTACGCCGCGACGAACGTGGCGCCGAGTGGCAATTCGCTCCCCTTGGTTCCGAGTGCCGGGAATCCTGACTCGAGGCACACGAGCTGCGAGCAATGCGTTCGAACGAATAAACAACCGAATCGTCTACACGAGCCGATCGGTTCTCTCGGGGTAAGGATTAACGCGTGGAACGCGCGAGACGTTCGAGATAGACGCGTTACAGGTCCTTTCGAAATTTGCAGGTAGTCGGCGCGATATATTCGAACTCCTCCTGCTCTCCGTCGAGCAGCTCCTCCGATTCTCCTTTTTCCTCGCCCTCGAATCAGTCTTACGGAGATGCTTCGAGTCCGGTCGGTGTGAATTTCGAAACGAATTTCGTCGGTTTGAATTTCGAAGATACACTGGCCAAGGAATTGGACAACTTCTCGCTTTCGAACGACATCCTTGAATCGTTGCAACTGATCGATGAAGTGATAAGGGATATAGACGAAGAAAAGCGAAACGACGTCGAAGAATCGCGAGCACCTCGTTCGATCGAAGCCGAAGAGATCGGTAAGGCGAACGGTAAGGCGAACGGTAAGGCGAACGGTAAGGCGAACGGTAAGGCGAACGGCAAGAGGAACGGTAAGCCGAACGACACGGCGACGAGCGTCAATTCGATCTCGCGTTCGTACTCGTCTAGAGCGAATTCGAACGTCTCGAAGATTTATTGCGCGAGCACGCAACGGCCTGGCGGCGCATCCGAATACAGGATGCCCGAAACCGACGAAACAAATTCGGGTCGAATAACAGAGCTAGACGAGATCGTTCCGAGTTACAACGGTCCGAACAACGGTCAGAATCCGTTTTTGCATTTTTTCTCGAATTTTTCCACTTCCACTTCCACTTCCACTCCGGAGACCATTTGCGCAGACGATTACAGCGACGTCGATGCGCAATTTGGCGGCTTTCAGGATCGTTCGAGAGAAAGTATCGATGAATTTCGTACGAGCAAGATGACCGATATCAAAGACGAAACGCAAATACCGGAAATGGTTGCCTCTTTCGAGACTGCTGGTACCAGTCAAGGACGACGGTGAGTAACGAAAACGGCGAAAATTTCGCGACGTATCTCGACCGAAAGACATCGCGCGTTTCTAGAAATCCTGGTCGCAACATAAAACCGTGGCCGTCGTTGAATTTACCATCCGTAAAGGCGAGCGAAAGGATGAAGAATGCCGTAGAATCGAACAAAGTGGAGCGCGCTATGCGCAATTTGCTCAAGTTGCCGTTGGAAGTGCTGGCAGAACCGGACGAGGACGGAGACACGTAAGAATAACGTATTTCTCGGATTCTCGAGCATCCTATAACTACTAGACTCTAGTTGCCAGTTTCTGCACAGAATGCTGATGCGTTTGCTGGGAAATCCGGACGAGCTTGCGAAGAAGATGGCTTACTTGGTGCCATTGGTCGAACGGTTGAGCATCCTGAAGAACGCGCTCTCTGCTACCAATCGCCGCGGCGAAGATGCGCTTTATTTTGCTGCGCTCAACTGTCCACGGTACAGTTACGTTACCGGCTACTTGGCCGCCACTTTGTTGGAAAAGGGGATCGACGTTAGTCAACGATTGTACAATACCCGCGTAGGTTTACTCTTCCTCTACCTATTTCATTCGTTTCGTTTCGTTTCGTTTCGTTTCGTTTCGTTTCGTTTCGTTTCGTTTCGTTTCGTTTCGTTTCGTTTCGTTTCGTTTCGTTTTGTTTCGTTTAGTCTCGTCTCGCTTTACGTCGAGCGTGAAATGTCCGATTCGGTTACAGGGTGATACGCTGATTCACTTGGTAGCAGCGCAGGGAGATTCTCACGCCGAAACGTTGGCCGAGTTGCTGGCGTTGAAGACGAGCCAAGGAAATAGAGTATTCGATTTATCCAAGCGCAACTACGACGGTTAGGCTCGACTGTGTTGGCGCGGTTATATCTTGACCGATGATGCGTGAAATTTTGTAAATTCGCTCGAACAACGTGTTGATTTTCACAGGCAAAACGGCTCTTCACGTGGCGATAGAATCTCACGATCCAACGACGAAAGGAGTCGTATCGCTCGAAACGGTGAAGCTGTTGCTGAAATGCGGTGCAGACCCGACCATCAAAGAGACGAGATGCGGCGATAACGCTTTACATATGGCTGTATCTTTACCCTCCGACCCTGCCCTTGTCAAGGTATCGTTAAGGCGTATTAACGTCTTCCGATCAGCTTTCGATCTCACCTTTCGATTTGATCCCAGGTGCTGTTGGACGAGCACGCCGTTGATCTAGTGAACGCGATCAACTACAATCACGACACAGCGTTACACGCTGCCGCAACTTTGTCGAATAATGTCCCCTTGGAGATACAAACGCAGCTGTTTTGGCTGTTGACTCGAGCTGGCGGACACGGCAATTTATCGAATCAGCAGGGAAAGACCCCTTTGGCTCTCGTATCGGCCGAAAGGAAACTCGTCATCGGGAAAATCATTAACAGCAAATCGCAATACGCTCCTATAAATACAACGGTTCAAGATTCTCGCTTCGTCGCGTATGCCGTCGATCGGAAGTCGTCTTTGCCTACGAACGATTCGTACTTCGACCTTCCCGCGTATCTTTCAGGATAAAAATACTACCGCGTCTATCGATTGCTCGTTTGTTCATTTCCGAATGACATCTGTGCGCTCGAACGTAACGGAATTAACGAACGTGGAATCAAACGCGAAGAGCAACGAGTGGAGAATGGGCTGTGCAATATCGGAGAAGAAAAGAATAGCGAAAGTCGACGGGTCTCGGGGCAGAACTCGACGGCGAACAACGTGTGCGCTTTCTCTCGATCGCGGTGAAAGGGATGATTTGAAATTGAAAAGGTATATACATGTACCTTTAGTATACATTACATTCGGTATAGATTATGCATTCGCATTCGCGTACTCGTTCAGCCGGGACGACGAGTTTAACGACAGAACGAAACGCGTTCGTCTCGAACAACGGGTACGTCACTCAATATAAAAGTTGCGTGAAACGGCTGTCCATCTTAATCCCGACAGCCGGCCGATTCCGATTCGGTGCCGGATGTCGGCAACGTCACCGCGACAACCTTCGCTCGCCTATACGACTCTCGTTCTTTCCAGTCCACGGGGAACGTCGAATTCGAAGGATCTCCGTGTAGGTATCGTCGAGCAGGATAGAGAAACGATTATCGGAATTCCAAGATTTCGTAGGTTAGAAGGAATCGCGAATTGGAAATTGGAGACTCGTTCGATCGAAAAAGTTGGTGGTCTCGGTGCGCGCGTAAAACCGGGGAACACGGAAGGGAAGCCGAAATGAAGGAGCTGACGAGATTGATAAGTTGCTTGGCGGTTCTCGGAGTGGCAAGGAATATCGACGAACGATGCAAAATCGACGAGCTGTCGAGGATAACGTGTCGATGCGTCGGCAAAGAGGTAAGTGCCGAGGGGGTGAGAACAGAGAGAGAGAGAGCGGACACGTTTTCTATTCTCTTTTGACCGTTCCGTCTGTCCACTTACATATGTATCCTATTGTATATCGTATATTTTATATCGTATATCGTATATCGTATATCGTATATCGTCTATTGTACATCGTGTATCGTATATCGTATATTGTATATCGTGTATTCTATTGTATTATTATTATATGATATTGTATAGTACGAATGTGTCTACGTAAATACGACGAGTCAGCTCTGGTTTAGCTCGGCCAAACGATGCGTCGTGAAACGTTGTTCGCTTTTAGGAATTTGTTCTGCCCGATGGATACAACTACGAAAACGTGACGAGTCTGCGAATCGCATCCTGCGCCTCCGCGAATCTGCATTTCTCCAGTTTGACGGAAGCCGACCGAATCACCGAGATAATCGTACAGAATATCAGCGACCGTTTGATTTTCGAACTGTTCCTCGCATCGAAGAGGATCGAGCGGTTGAGGTTGTCGAAAATTCGCCGGATACCGTTGATCTCGCGCGACACGTTTCTCAGCGTCGGTCGCATCGAGTCTCTGAGGATCGAGGATGCGCGGATCGATCGTTTCGAAGAGCAGTTCACGGACATCGCGATTAGGGAGTTCTCGATGATCAACGTTACGGTGGAGCAGGCGGATGGCTGGAATTTTTCGGAGAAGGGCGGAGGAACGCTACGGATAGAGAACAGCGAATTTCAAAAGATCGCAGGATCCCTGAATCTCGGTTACTTCTCGAACGTGGAGATTCTCCGGTCGAAATTTCACTTGCAGAAGCCGGGCCACCTGTTGCTGGAAGGAGACCTGGTTCTCGTCGAGGAGTGCGTCTTCTCGAACGCGAGCGTGAACCTCGTCGCCGCGAGCAAGGTCGCGATAAACGGTACGTGCGCGGACGGCAAGAGTTCCATGAGACTCTCCGCTGACGTGCTCGAGAGCGCCAACAATCGGCTGCCCACCGAAATCGTTTATACGAAGAAGAAACGAGCCGCGGAACGATTCTCCATTCGAAACAACACGGTGTGTATCGCGGGCAACTGCAAATGCCCGAAAACCAGTGGTCAAGGTACGCGTACCGCGACAATCTTTTCATACTTGCCACTTCAATGTTCCCTACCGTACTTTCTACTTTTAACGTCGATGATTTTCTAAACGCGAATCTATACGAGAGACCAAACGGACCAGTCGTCGTCGTCGTTCCTCCTTTTCTTCGTTTATTTATAGAATTCTCATGTAATCTTCGAATCGGGAATAAATATATGAAAATATGTGAAAATGTATGAAATCTTTTCGAAAATTAATTCTTGTCGAATTAATCGTCAGGCTCGAATAAACATGTACCATGTCCATTATTTCGTTAATGAATCATTGGGATGAAAAGCCAACGGAGAGAGAGAGAGAGAGTATGCAGAGACGAGGTAGTAAAAGTACCGAAATACCCACTTTTTACGTTGATATATCCCCGATCTAGTCGAGTAATCGACCTAACCATTCGGATAGAGCGCGCTAACGTACCAGGTCGGTTTTCGCGGTGTCGGTATTTCAGCGAGGCGCGGGTAACGTTGCTCCACGATACACCGTTCACCAGTTTCACCGAGGAGGCGACAGATGGCGCGACGAGCGCGTTACCTCGGCGTCGATCGGATTCGCCGGAAGATGTCGCGACGGTAAATATTCCCCGATCGCGATACGCGCGATTCCGAATTCTTCGCGATTCGTCGTTGGTCGGGGTATGTACCGGAGAGCCAGGTTCAATTGTACATTTCTATAGATCCGAATGGTTTCCGAATCGTTCGCGATGTCGGCAACTCAACGGCAAGAATCGAAGCGCGATCGAGGAGAACCGTGGATCCGGTGAAAGTCGTTGATTCGCGTCGTTACTGGGAAACACGATTCGAACGGAGAGATTTCCGTAAAACGTACGCGAACGTTCGAAAGCGTTGCTGGAGAGCGTGGGCACGCTTGGGACGTTCGTCGACTGAAAGTGCCGAGAATTTTGACGGGTCAGTAACTCCGAAAATATTTATGTCGTCCCCTACTATTCTTACTCCCGCGACATGGATATTTTCGGCTAATGTCGAGCAACTCTGGCTGCCGAACGCCAAACCGTTTTCGAGCTTTTCCTTTAATCGCAGAGATTCTGCGTACGCCGAACGCGAGTGTTCCTCCCGAGGAACAGGGGAACGAGGAGGAGGAGGACGAAAGGGGAGGAAGATCCACGGAAAGGGATCGACGCGGAGGGTGGCTCGGTTTCGGATGGCAAGAGCCAAGGCGGACAGATGCACGGATGCGCGTTTCGTGATCCGCGCGCACTTGGAACCGCCTCGGAAGGGGACTCGCGGACGTGCCGATGTCTCGGGAACGGAACTCCCTGTGTCAACTTCGGCGAACGTTCGATCGACGAGCTTGGGAAGAATCTGTTGCTTCCTGTATCGGGTTCTTTTGGTCGTGCCGCGTCGCCCACTCGAGACGCGTAAAGCCGGCGGTGTCGTCTGTTCGAGATCCCCTCCATAAATCGGCTGGGTTTCCAGCTGTCTCGGGATGCGAACGCACCACTCGCCATTAGGGGCTGAAAAAACAGAGACGCGAAGGGACGCGAAGGGACGCGAAGGGACGCGAAGGAACGGAGCAGCTCGCGAATCGGCGAAAAAGACACGCGCGACCCTCGAGCGGTGTTCGATGGTAGTTTTTCTGCTTTATTGTTGCAAATATCTCGTTCACAGGAGGTTTCTTTGGCGAAGGCGCGCGCGACTCCACTCGCGACGCTTCCCTCGAAAATCGGACTAGATCTCTAGAGGAACCGGAAGAAACGATTCGGCCACGGAACTCTGCGGAATACGACGGGACGAAACGCGTTCGCACGAATCAAACATCGAAAAGATTTCGTTTCAGCACGAATCTAGGAACTTGATGTCCAGTCGGTGATTCCAGAGGTGAATCCAGCGGTGAGTCCAGAGTCCGAGAAGAATCGTTCGAATCTTTGAACGCCGTTTCCTCGATTCTCAGTGCTGGCAAGAGTGCTGTCGAAGTCCTTCGGCGGTCGGACGCGACGAATCGTTGATGCTCTGCACGATCATGTTTAGGCGGTCCAAGCTGCTTCCCGTCAGCTGGATCGGCTGCAGATCGGCCGCTTGCTCGAACCCTGCGAACAAACGCGTACGAACAGGGTTAATGCGACCAACGCGGAATCTAGTCGAGGCAATAACATCGCGAGCAGCTGGAACGAAGAACACGCCACTCTTCTCACCTTCTGGCGTTTTTATCGGCTCGTGGCTGCCGAGAAACCGTGACACCTCTCTCGATTCTCTTTCGCTTCTTGGAGAAGATCCAGCCTATCGATCCGTGGAAGAACGACCGTACGCGTGAACCGGCGAATCGCACGGTTACCTTTGATTCGCGGATCGTATCTCCGACACTATATCTCTTTGGTCGCGACGAGTCCGGCGAAAGCGTCGTGCGCGGCTTCCTGCCAAACGCGTGCAAAGTTCAGCGCGAGAAAAGAATCGCGAAAGTGGGTGCGCTGCTGTTTCGGAAACACGGTATCGCGACGATCGAGTCGTTGCTACCGGTGGAAAACGTATCCGCCGCGACGAAAAGGAAGAAACATGTCGGATTTATGGATCTGCCCGGAGGACGCCGAGTGTACGCGGTTCCGTCGAAATGACGATTTTCAAAGAACATCGCGTTACGACTCCTTCTCGCCGTACCTCCGTGTCCTCGAAGCACAGAGAACCCTTGATTCGGTCTCATTAGCGAGGAACGGTCGCGCGACGCGTGACGCGGGAGACGCGCGCGATACGAACGGAAAAACCCGCGCTTCTCGGCACGCCGCTTACAAAACTCGTCTCGTCCTTCGCCGGGGGCCCCCTCCAACGCCGCGTCGCGTTCCGCTTGGGAATCCGAGGAAATCGAGGAAATCGAGAAAATCGAGAAAGACGGGGGGAACGCGAATTTAGACGAGGCTCCGCTGACAGAAGAGACGCCGCGGCTCTCGAAGGATAAACCGCCGGAGGAAAATCGAGCAACGAACGGAGCAGAGACTTTCGGGATTTTCGAGGAACGTTAGCGAATATCTGGATGCGGTAAAGTATGTATTTTGGCTGCAGTTTCGGTTGCGTTTAAACGCGTGTCTCGTTCCGTTGGCAAAACGATGATTCTACGACGATGCGTCATACTAATGTACCGTGGCAATATATGGCACTTTGGAGCAGTTCGAGCTTTCTCGTCTTTCTACGATCCCTCGGATCGCGTCAGAAGTACCACGAGCGAATAACGTATCCCGGGACGTCGATGAATGCCGTCTTTGAATCCCGACGAATCTCGCTTTCGCAGGGAGGAAAACGCACTTTGTCGTATCGAGAGGCCGCGCCACGCGCTGGCATGTTTTCGAATTTCGTTAGCTACGCGAATAGAAACCGATAAATATGTTCGGTGTAACGTCGCGCGCGTTCGCGTCCGATCGCCTCGAAAGTACCCTATGCCGCAACGGTGTCTCGTTCGTTTCGCCCATTTTCCTTTCACCCTTGTGAAATATGTTTCACGCTCGCCGAATTTCAGGTATTCATTAACGTTAATGAATCCGAAGCTATTTCGGCGGTTGAAATTCGGGCGATTTCGAACGCGTCTCGTTTTGGCTCGCGTCGCGACGCGGCGCGGCTCGACGCGGCACCGGTTCTACGTTATATTGTAACGTCGCGTCGGATTTTCCTTATTTCGCGATGCAATCGACGCTTTCCGTTCGAGCGTTCGGTCTCCTCCGGTCATCTCGCGCGAGTCTGCGTGCTACTCGGTTAGGCGAACAGACACGGTTGCTCGTCTATTTTCAGAATGTAGGCCAATTAATTCTGCCGCATTTTCAGTACAGGTCGGAAAAACGAAAACTTTACGAATGTCGCGCGAAAATAGCAAGAAACAAGGAATCGTATCGACGTAGCTGGTGCGGAGCGGCGCTGAGCGGAACGGAGCGGAACGAAGCGGATTCGAAAGACAGTCGTTTTATTCGAGCAATGGTGCTACCTCTCGAAACTGATCTTACCGCGTATTCCCGATCGCGAGGTACACGCTCGACGCCTGATTGCTCGTCACTCGTCACTCGTCACTCGTGACTCGTGACTCGTGCCGCGTGGCGGTGAGCACTCGGTCCGCAGCCGGAGCCGCGACGCGGACGCGACACGGGGCACGGAACGAACAGCCAGAGGGAGGTGAAGGGAGATGAAAAAGGAGAAGGAGCGGCGCTCCACTGTCAGACGAGATCGTTGCATCTCGGAAGCTCATGGGTGGGCTATCTATAGCAGCGAGTGTAACCGAATAGAAACCGAGTGTCACTCAAGGGTGACAAAACTCATTAATACCGATCTGCTTAATGCCGCGTCTCGTGTCTGGCATTAATCTACTTAAAAATATCGGTATCGCTAGCGATCCGCTGTTTTGGTAACGTCGCGGAGAAGGGCCGGTCGATGCGTGGCTGCCTCCTTAATAGACGATTCCGTCTATCCGAACGCTTCGACCGCGTCGCCTCGCCTCGCCTCGCCTCGCCTCGCCTCGCCTCGCTTCGCCTCTCGACGCCTCGCTTCGCCTCTCGACGCCTCGCCACGCCTCGAAATCCCACGTATCGTCTTGTCTCTCCACGCCACGTATCGCCTCGCGTCGCGTCAAACCGGCGCATCGTGGCCGATGCTCGTTACAATGTTACGCTCTCGTTGGATTATTTTCCAAAGGATATTCCGCGAAAAGACTCTCACTCACCGTTAATGGGCTGAAACCTTGCCAAAGGGTCCGAGAACTGTCGCAGCCGTTCCGTCACGTATCGGGGTGAATCTGCGTCCTGCAAACAAACAGTTGCTTTCATCGCGATCGTGGACTAGCCCAACGGTGTCCGTGAACGTCGAGACACGGAAAGGGGAAACGGGAAACGATACTGGTCGGATGGCAAATGGTAGATGAAAGATAAAACACGCGAGATGGGAGACGGCGAACGCGAACGATGGTGTAAGGGAATAAAAGAAAGAATCGTAGGGGCGAGGGCCGAGGGGTGGGAGCGGAGAGGGGCGAGGGGAAACGGAAAATGGGAAACCAGGGACACGCGCGGTGTCGCGACACGTTCGTTTCGATCGGACGCGAAATGTAGGTCAATCGTAGCGTTCGGCAAGGGACTCGCGCAATCCTTGCCCGGCGTCGAGGAGTGGTTGGAGGTTGGGGATGGCAGAGGAACGAGAAGAAAGGGGCAGTGGGTGGTGCAGCGAATCGAGTTATCGCGCGAAACTTTGAAAAAGTACGGCCGAAGGGGAGTAACGCGTACAGTATGCGCGTATATTCGATACATGCGCGATATAGGAACGCGAGTGGACGGCGAGTGGACGGCGAGTGGATGGCGAGTGGATGGCGAGTGGATGGCAGAGTACGAGGAAACGTCGCTGGAATGCCGATCGACGTCGCGTTCTCTGATCCCTTTCGCCTTCTTTCTCTCATTCATTCCGCCACTCCGCAGAGGCCACTAAACACTGCGTACACATTTTATCCGGCTCAAGTTCGTTTATTTGTTTCGGAGTATCTATATGCGATGTCGTGGCGAACTATTCTCGGAGTGAAAGCAGTTCCTCGCGACACCTACCACAGCCCGGCATCGGCCGCGAGTCGCGCGTCGCGCGTATCCTCGCGCTTTCGCAACTCGTCGCGGACAACTGCGAGCTTTCGTTTCCATGTAGCGCGTACAACCTCGAAACGAATCGCATCTGGAAATCGATCGAGCAGTCTGTCCTTTTAGGAACTCATCGAACAGTTTTTTACGTAGAGCTCGGCACAGGAGAGCACAGCTGAGAGCACAGCTGAGAGCACAGCTGAGAGCACAGCTGAGCACGGTTTAGCGGGAAATCGAGAAGCTTTGATCGCTAAGTAGGATACATTCACCGTGTCGTGCCGGTGGCTGAGCCGACTGGCCTGGTCTAAACGAACGCGCGGTGTTTGCTCTGGGAGATCGCTCGGTGCCCTCGATGCCGCCGGTTCTCCTCTTTTTCAGCTGCACCGCGGCACGCGTCTGGAAAGCTGCAGCCGCCGTTCCACCGAGCAAACGCGTTCGTCTTTCTCGCGATTCGGAAGAAGCGTGACCGGAAGTATCTACCGATTCGGAGGATGATCGCGAGCCGACGGAATCGAGACGCGGCGCAACGCGAGTGGATTTCGTTTAAAAATGATCGAAACGACGGCCGTATCGTGCCGTCTGGAATCGATGCTCGGTCAGAAGCGTATATTTAGAGTGTGAAACACGGACCGACGAGTTTACGCGAAAAGCCGAGCAAATATATTTCATTGTATAATCCCCCGATGAAACGCCTCGCAGCAACGGGTTCGTCACTGTGCTCAGATTTTCGCGCCAAGTCGCATCGGCCGTCCGTATTTCGCGATTTCGCGATTCCGTTTAGGAGGCAAACTGGCTCGGCCCGATGGGACGAACCAACGAGAGATCAGATGCGCGAGAGATCGAGCGAGCGTCCGTTTCTTTCGACACACACGTGTCCGACACGTGCATAAGTCTGTTCAGCCTCGAATAGTATTTCCAACGAATATTCGCCGTTGGCTTCGAACGGGCCACTGGACGAACGGTGCGCGAGCGATTCGGCGACGGAGGGACGGAGAGACGGAAAGACGCGACTGTTCAGCCGACGGAGCATCCTGAACGATAGCAAACCGCTCGCTCGTCGGAGTTTAGAGATTTCTGACACGCACGGGGGGATACGGTATCGAAAACCGATATCAACTAGTCGCGAAGCGCGACACGAGCAGCTACTCCGCCGACAGAAACGACCTTCCCCCGGCTCGTTTTCCGTTTAGCCCTGACGCGTCGATGGAGGCAACGGTGACGAGGATATCGCGGTTCGTTCCGTATTTCCCATCGCGGTAAAGAGGTCGCCGGCGAATATCGCGTGTCCCGTGTCGCGCATCGAACGCGACGCGCGTTACGTACCATATTCTCGGCGAAACCGCGATCTTGCGTTCCCGGGGTTCCGTTCGCTTGCAGCAACGCTTCCAACCCCTCGATGTACTCGATCGCGTTTCGCAGAATCTCCACTTTGGGCAGTCGTTGGTTCGGATTGTTGCTCGTTCTCCTCTTCAAAACTTCGAACGCTTCGTTCACCTGCAAACCGGAGAACTCGGTCGAGTTGTCTCGGAAGATCAGGGGGCGAGACGAATTGTTCGCGGGTTGGGCACTAACCTTCCTCAAGCGTCTTCTTTCCCGCAGCGTGGCCGCTTTCCTACGATCTACAGTGACGGTCTTTTTTTTGCAGGCTTTGCAGGCCCAGAGAAGGCATCTGCGAGGTCCGTGGGTCGAGGTCGCCGCGTCCAATGAAACGTGGGGATGGGGCACGTGCTCGGTTTCGTTCTTTTCGTTCTTCTCGTTCTGCTCGTTCTGCTCGTTCTGCTCGTTCTGCTCGTTCTGCTCGTTCTTCTCGCTCCTCTCGTTGGTTTCGCGACTCTTCTGGCCTGGCCGATCGGACCGCGCCGATTCGTTCGGTTCGTTAGTTTCGTTGCTTTCCTCCGTTTCGACCGACACCGACTCGAAATCGACGGAAGCGTCCGCCGACGCGACCGATGACGCGTCGTCCGAATCCAAAGCGTACGAAGACGACTGCGACCTGTGTGCACGCGCAAACAACCATCTCGTTATCTCGTTGCCATCGTTCGATTATCTCGAGATACTCGCGGTCGAGTATCTTGCTCGCGGTAAGCACGATTATCGATGAATGCCGAACCGGTGAATGGTAGGAAGGCTTCGCCTGGAGTAGTTGAGAAAAGAAGCTCGTCTCCGCAAATGCGCGCGCGATAAGATGCTCGTGCGACGGATAAGTGGTCTACGCGTTACCCGCGACGCGCGATTGGAATAGTTCCAGGTGGTCGGAAGAACGCTATCCTCCTCGTGTACCTTGATCGACGCGACGAAAGACGCGAGTCGCTAGACACGAATAAAACGAATGCGAAACGCGAAGCGAAAATGGCTTAATGCGCGGTAAATCCATCTGCGCGTTTCCCTTCGAAATAACGAGAGTGCTCGCCAACGGAAAACCGGTGCGTGCAGTGGTGCGTGCCGTCGTGCGTGCCGTCGTGCGTGCCGTCATGCGTGCCGTCGTACGTGCAGCCGAGCGAGCAGTCGCCGTTCCGAAGGTTTCGCGGTAGAAACGCGTCACTCGGCCAGGGAAATGCTCGGGGAAATGCTCAGCCGCGTGCTCGAGTCGCTTTCAAATATTTCGGAAGACTCGAAAATTGCCTCGACGAATCGCGGCTCGATGGAGAGGAAAACGCTCACCTGAAATGATGTTCGTATCGACACCGCAGCAAATTCGTCGAGTCCAACGTCGAGACTTTCCCGACCGTCTCGGCGACGCTTCTCCTGTATCCCTGGTCTACGTTCCTTTCGGACAAATACTGGTGCAAGTAGTCGATCGCAGGATTTTCCTCCGAAACGTATAATCGGCGGCGCCGATGATGGTAGTAACGCTGATGGTGTCGATGCTGGTGAAAACGGTGCTGATAACGATGGCCGTGGTTCGGCTGATGACGAATTTGCAACTGATGATGTCGAAAAGCCTCGTAGGACGTTCTACCAGTGGTTTGACACGCGTAGGACACCGCGTTCGTTACGAGCGTCATCTCGACGGTATCGGTCGGACGAACGAGCAAACTTCTCGCGTCGCTCGAACGTTTCCTCTCGCTAGCTTCCTTTCTCGCAGCGAATCAAACGAACAACTTTCAAACTCTTTTGTACGCTTGTTCCGTTTCAAAATACGCGTTCCACGATTCGCGATTCGAAAGATCCTCATACCGAGCACGATGTGGCGCGCATCACGTAATTGAATCGAATTGTATCGAATCGAATCGAAGCGTATCTTATCGAATCGAATCGAACCAAATCGAATCTAGTTGCGGAACTTTCAACGATCGTAACAACCAAGAGAATCGTGAGAACGCGGATGGAGACCGACGCTGACAGACGGTAACGCGTCAGCTTCCAAACGTTGTATGATCGTATCGAAGAAGAAAGAAAGAAATTAGGGAAAGAGAAAGAACGAGGGAGGGACGGACAGTCGAATAGGCAGAGAGGAGAAAGAGAAAGAGAGTGTGCGTGTTTGTTTGTGCGCGTGTGTGTTAGAGTGTGAGAGAGAGATAGAGAGAGAGAGAGAGAGAGAGAGAGAGAGAGAGCGTGC